AAGCAAGGTTGTGTCATCTGTATAATGCAGGCTGTTAATGAGTCTTCCTCCAACTCTGATGCCACATTCTTCTTCATATAGTCCAACATATTGAACATAAAGCTGGACCATATGTTCAATCTGATACACGAGATCAAATGTGTGGCTCCTGTCCGGAGGCAGGATGAGAAGGCAGGGACAGAAATTGGTTGAATGGACACAGGGAACCCAGGGTAGAAAGAGAGAGTGTGCTATCACATTGTGGGGATTGCAACTAATGTCACAAAACAGTATGTGTATAAATTTTTGTATAAGAAATTAACTTGAGCTGTAAACTTTCACTGAAAGCACAATTAAAAAAAAAGAAGTGAGAGACTTCACGTGGCCTGTAAAGCCTAAAATATTTACTCCCTGGCCCTTCACAGAAAGAGTTTGCCAATCCCTGACCTAAATTAGTCTGCACAGCTAAAGAGGCGAGCGACTGGCACCAAGCCCTGACCAAGTTATTAATTTGCCAATTACTCTAGGAATCCCTAGGTGGTGCGTCTCAGTCACCTAGTGCTGCTATAACAGAAATAGCACAGGTGCATGGCTTTAACAAAGGGAAGTTTATTCTCTCACAGTCCAGTAGGCTACAAGTCCAAATTCAGGGCATCAGCTCCAGGAGAAGGCTTTCTCTCTCTGCCAGCTCTGGAGGAAGGTCCTTGTGATGCATCAGTCTTCCCTTGGACTGTGAGCATCTCAGTGCAGGAACCTCAGGTCTAAAAGACACGCTCTGCTCCCGGCACTGCTTTCTTGGTGGTATGAAGTCCCCCTGTCTCTCTGCTCACTTTTCTCTTTTATATTTCAAAAGAGATTGGCTTAAGACACTAATCTTGTAGACCTCATCAATATAACTGCTGCTAATCCATCTTATTACATCATAGTGATAGCATTTACAACACATAGGGAAATCACATCAGATGAGAAAATGGTAGACAATCATACAATACTGGGAATCATGACCTAGCCAAGTTGACAGATATTTTTGGGGGACACAATTCAATCCATGACATGGTAGAAATGGTTAAGCGCTTGACTACTAACGGGAAGGTTGGTGGTTCAAACCCACCCAGAGGGACTTTGGAAGTAAAGGCCTGGTGATTTGCTGCCAGGGGTCACAGTCTTGGAAACCCTGTGGAATGCAGTTCTAGTCTGACACACATGGGATCGCCATGAGTCAGAGCTTATCAACTATTCTAAATCACCATGCCTGGTTTGGGTAGGAGAATAAAAGTGTAATGCACTGCATCTACACTAACACTTTTGCTAGGAAGACAGTAAACCCTGAAAAAGAAGAGCTACCATGTGAGACTGCCAAATGGCATGGTGCGGTATCAGGGGAAGGGTTATAGAGACCTTGGCGTTTCTCAAGGGGAAGAGGACCTGTGATGAGCCCAGAACTGACTCTTTCAGTTCTTCTACTGGAACAAAATGCTAAAAATACAAAGAGATGGCAGAGCCCACAGCCAGCTGTATGTAGTCAAAGAAGCACTGAAAAAGCGAAATAAAACTCAGTAAGGAAAAGAAGGTCATGAATTTACAGGGTAGCTCTTTGGACAGAACCTTCTGGACCTTGGCTGGGGGAGGGAAGCATCCGTAGGGGGACTGGGGAAGGCGAGGGAGAGAAGAGGCAGCAAAAAAGCCACTGAGAGGGCCTAGTTCTGTGGCTGCCCCAGCCTTGGTAGCCTCAATCGCTTATCACGTTTCTCCCAACCCGTGGTAAGGAATGTCATCGCTGAAATATCAGCCCGAGGAGAGTAAACACAACTGTCCACTTCCATTAACTTGAACCAATTAATCTGGCTCTCTTTCGAAGGAGGACCAGGTTCTATTCCTTTCCATGGTGAAAGGTTTGCTTGTCTCATATCAAGTGAGCACATATATTTCCAAAGAACAACAATAGCTCCCTTTCTTGAGAGAGCAGAAAAGCCAAAATCTATCAAATAGACTGTGGCAGGATATCCATAAAGCCAACCTGTGTTCCAAAATGCTAGAGGGCAAATAAAAAGACAGAAGGATATTATAAAACTGCCATGTGTTACAAAATAGATCTCAGGATATCCTGGTTGGAGGTCATCTTTAAGGTCCACCAGTCCCCTCCACACTTCCAACAAAGCTGCCTACAAAACCTAACCCTTAAAAGAGAAAAAGCACGTGTCATGCTTGGCTTTTGGCATGGAATATTCTTTTTTTTTTTTAATAAATTAAAAAACGTATGCAATCAAATACAAACCTCTTTCCTTCTTTTAAGACCTATCTGTACAGGATCAAACTGACAACAGCAACTTGGTTAACTTGAAAGGTTAGATAGGAAATTTGGGGACAGTGAGTTTATGTTAATGGGGGAGGAACAACTGGGAATGAGGGGGAGAATGGTTATGCAACTTGAATGTAATTAATTCCACTGAATTGTACACGTAGAGACTGTTGAATTGGTGTCTGTTCTGCTGTGTATATTGTCAACAACAAAAAATAAATTAAAAAACAAACAAAAAGACTCTTTCCTCACACATGCTATAATATATACGAACCTTGAAAACTTTATGCTGAGTGAAATCAGTCAGTCGCAGAAGAAAACATATTATATGATCCCACTTACATGAACTATCTAGAATAGATAAATGTAGAGAGACCAAAGTTTATTACTGGTTACTAAAGGGTATTAGGGGTGGTGGTGGGGGAGGTGGACACAACGCTTACAGGACACTGAGCTTCTGTTAAGGGTGACGGAAACATTTGGGGACGTTTAATGGTGATGGTTGAACATGAGGAACGTAACTAATGTCACTGAACCATACATGTGAAGACTGTGCAAATGGCAAATGATTTGTTACCTAAATATTTGCCATAATTAAAAAAAAATTAATTAAAAAGACAAAAAAAACCTTTCTTTAACCCATGAATTCCTGCCTTTCTCGAGTCCACCTTCCCTTATCACGCTATTTCTCTCCCCTACCAGAGACTGAGTTCCTTCAGGAAATGACTGATCGCTGCAGCACACTGCTTGGTCCATGGTAGCTGGGGAGCAGGACTTCAGCCTACTGAAGTTTTGCTGCCACCTACTGGTTGTGTGAGCTGGGACAGTTTTGCTGCCACCTACTGGTTGTGTGAGCTGGGAGAGTTTTGCTGCCACCTACTGG